ACTTAAATCACAGCAACACACATTGTCTAGTGGTAGCCTGGGCTTGACTGTATTTCCTTTGGCACTCCTCTTCAACCCCCTTGGGTTATTGGAGTTTTTTAATATCAACCTCATTCCAACTTGACATTTTACAGTGGACAATAGGTTGCACATCATATCTAGTGGAGTTGTGATGGTGGATATTGTGTGTTTGTGTGCATTTGCATGGGTCTTTTCAAGGAGTATTGGAAAAAGGTAGCTTGAAAACTTAAATTACCAATAATAAATCCATCAACTTCATGTACACAACATGTGCTCCGTGATCTGGATTCTAAAGATCAGACCATTCAACTAACAGAAATCAGAGAGGAAAAGTTAGTGAATCTGAATTTGTACACAAAACAAAAAAAAGAAAGGATATAGCTGTACAATAACTAATATATAGACATTTACTGCCATGGTTTCAGATTCTAAACAGGACATACATATGCAATTTCAAAGCACGACAAATGCAGTTTTATGTTCTTTCATCCTCGCCTTCTTCTGTTTTGAAAACAGTGGGCAGCCATTACACACTAAAAGTAAGATGCTCCAATCTGTTTTTTAATGGAATGCTTTATTAAATTTATTCATTCAAATTATTCAATTTTTTTCTGCAAGAAGTGCCTCTTAAAGTGTCCTAGTCACTTTCAAGAGAAACATGTAAGGGACAGATTTCTGCATTTTATATAAGGCACCTGATTGGTTCAGATCGTAATGAACAAATCGTTCTATTCGCTCTCACTGGCCTATCGCACCACAGTTGCTGTTGCGTGGCACAGCAGTATCTGATGTTGACAAATACAGGGTGTCCGCTGGTTGTTAAACAACATCATTATGGGGAAATGCAAGTTTGCGTCCAAATGGTTGGAAGATAAGGTTCCTCCTTATCTTCCAACCATTTGGACGCAAACATTTGGACAATCAATACTGTATATAGCAAATGTGTCGCCAATGTAACCGGTTAAAACTGGAAGTGGCGATGAGGTCTTAAAATGTATGGAAAGAGTCTTAAAAAAGGTCTTAAAAGGTATTACATTTGACTTCAGGATTCCTGCATATACCCTGAAATAACACAGTGTAGACGGATCATGTTGTTCTTCCACTTGTTTTGCAATGTTGCTAAATTAAAGGGTTTTCTGACTTAGTAAAGATTCCTTTGACACTTTGTGTCCTTTTGCAAATCTCACATATTTCTTAGAGCAGCGTTGCTATTTTAATATGTGTTTCATGTGTTCTTAGCATTAAGGATAACTGGCAGCTACGTAGCTGTCCTATCTTAACTCATTGTTACCCAGTCTTGCTTTTTTGCCCTAAAGCAAGGCAATTAACCCTGCCAAGGGTACTAAGATATCTCCGGCTGCTCGCGGTTAGGAAAGAAATCACAAGTACAAAAGAGTGTGTGGAGTTAATTAAACTTTTTGGTTTCCAATAGAGGTGTAATAAATATCTGATCTCAATCAGGGATTCAGGTCAAGTGTCTACAATAGAGCTGCAAAGATACATACATTGACTGTGTCTCTATCCTGACCGGGCATTGATGAGCGTTTCAGTGACACTTTCTGTGTAACTTAAGCTGAATCTTGTTTCTCCTCTTGTCTCTTAGATATAGATATTTGTGCACGCTTTATACCGAGTAATCATATAATTCTTGCTGCATATCAATGCGGTAACCCCCTTTTGTCCTCCTTTGTTCAAGTTTGGTTCAGTGCCAGTCTAGAGAAGATGTTGTGTCCTCTTCAAGCCTTCTCTGTTAGATGAGATTTGCGAACAATGAAAAAAAAAAAAAAAAAAAAATGGTATGCCTGTTGTAAACACAGATTAATATATTGAGGTCCAAGTAAACAAATAGGAATACTAATTTAGTCTGATATGAAAGCAATGATGTTGCAAAGAAAAAAAATACACAAACTGGATACTAAGATAATGTAAAAGTGAGTAGGTGAGAGTAAGTCCTTTACAGATAGTGGAGCTAATAAAGTTAGTTGATATGATAATATCATTATTATTATTATTATATTAAGTGATTTATTGCATATAATAAAGCTGATTATTTGTGTGCTTTATCTTTGTATCATATCAAATCATTGACTGAGAGGTGAATTGAATTGTGACAAATGATTGCACGTCTGAGGGTATCCATCAGTGTAATTTATCTTGGACCATGTAAAGAGCTGGGAAAGAAACTGGAGACCGAGCACGCTCCTGGTAGCCAAATCACTACATGCAAATGTGTCCTTGGTGGAGGCTCCCATTGCCATTTCCAGAGAGCTGGTAGAGCCATGACAAAAATAGAGGGAGGGAGAAAGAGAGAGAGGAAGGGAGATGGATGTCACCCTTGCTCTCATATGTCATATTGTTAACCATAGATATGAGGAGAACGCCTCAAGGTTGAACGTGCAGCTGAGACATAAATATTCTATCAGAGGTTTCCTCCAACGAAATAGAGGGAAATATGTCTGCATGGATTATTTATGGCTTAATATGCACTCGGTGAATGGACAATCACCTCTGAGAGCATGAAGACATTGTAGGGGCCAAGTTAATTGTGTGTGTCTGGAAATGCATGCAAGCTAGGTCTGTGAAAGGCAGTGGTAGTCGAGCTGTTAAGCTTGGTTACACAAAGGGTCTATATTGTGTGGCTTGATGATGGATTACAATAACGGCATGTTACTGTTGCAAAGTGTATTCAGGTTTGTTTTATTTATGTACAAGCTTTTGTCCGTATCATCGATTTTTTGTGCTTTGACATGTTGTTTGTATTTTCTCTCTTAAATCTTGAGCCACTTGTGTGCCAACGCAGGCACACACACGCAAATGCTTCTCACTTCGTGCAGATGAATTCTTTCATCCCACACCACTTAAATGGAGTCCATCTCAAAGTGGTCTGGCCTCCGCTTTCCAGCTCACCTTATTTCCTCTTCAGATGACTGCCTCGACATGGGAAATGTCAGGCTCTCATTGCCAGCACTGTGGCTTCTTCAAACATTTGTGAAGTGTTAAGCTCATCGCTTCAGCTTAGTGTGGCAGTCTCCTAGGAATCTGGGCTGCTGACCCGCAACACAGCAAAGACAGCCCACCAAAATGCACTCAAGCACATCCACTCTGCCTGCTCATTTGCATCAATGAAAGATTGTATTAGTCCGAGGTTTATGATATTCACGGCAGCGCACTCACCATACTGTAAAGATCCATGCATCACATAATGGGGTTGATGGGGTGGCTTTACAGCTCTAAACAGTCATGATGTTGTTTTTTCTCATTTAGTGGAGAATGACAGTGGATCACTAAGGATTACTAAGCCTAACGACTCTTAGACGTTACCTTCATATGAATCCTAATGGGATATTTTCAAGCTAGCATTAACATATCCTATAGAAGTCCACCTCTTGACTTTGGTTTCAGACTTCTTACAGGAAGACACATTACACATATAAAAAACCCACATTCAATATATGTGGACAAAGACTCATCATAGGTATTCAAGGTAAATCATCAACATGTAGTAGGGGAGGTGAAACGTGACTTGCTGAAATGGAATGGATCTAATTGCTAAATTCAAGGCGACGTTTTAGCTCACATATTGTTATTTCCCACTTGTGCTATGGACCATTGGGCTATACAAACATCAACAATGCCAAAATGAAGCTCCAAATAATAGACTTCCCTAATTCCTCATAACAAAGAAAACTGCCTCAGTTCTATTGCAGTTTGTTTTGTTCCAAAAAGTTTATTTTAGCAAACAAACAATTGTTGCAATGCAAAGAGAAATCGGTAGTGTGGTTTCTGTCTGCAGTCTTCTGGTTTGGCTCCACAAACAGAGATGCACATATCTCAAAACCAATATGCAAATTGATGTTGCATTTCTTTAGAAATCTGTTCAAGCAACATTCAGATTTTACTGGAGATTTTACTTTGCAGTCTTGGGTTTTAAAAACCTGTAATGTGTTAAGGCCACTCTTCTTTAACCTATATAAGGATTGTGGAGTTTGTAAAGGCAGCATACTGAAATGTGTCAAGTATCATTTGCAAATCATCTGTTTGCATGGCCACAGCATTGCAAAACATTATACACAGTGTTTAATAACTGTACACCAGTTAGTTCATGTAACTGACTACTCACTGTACATAACAATATCTAATGTGTCAATGAAACAAGTGACTAGTCACACCATTTTCATTTGTACCGTCCCAACTGTTAAGACCACATTTCTTTGTGTTCTGTTGGTTTCATCACACCCGGCCAATGGAAAAATTCCATTTATGGGACAACAGATGCTCCATTTATTTTCTCTATTTTTCACTTCACGCCCAAGAGGGGAAAAAAATGGGCTCGTCTTTTATTATTATTATTTTTTTAACCAAGTTCTGGATCTGTTTGACTCAGGCATGAACACTCCCATAATCAGCCAGAGTGTGCATCCCTCTGAATAGAGATGAAAGAGGAGAGAACACACTCACACTTATACACTCCAGTGCATGCACATAACAACAACAAGGAGCACACAAATAAACAGGCACAAACACACAGGCAGGAAGCACAAGCCATTTGGCACAGCCTCTCTGTCTAGGGAGGGCTTCAAAGCCCACTGACATGAATTTATGATAACGGCACTATGCCTTTGCCAAACCTCAACTGTTGTTGTTTTTCTCTCGCTCCCTCCCCAACCCTTCTATATGCTCTGCCATCCCCTTGATCAGAGCTTTGGAAAATGCTAGCAGGTGTCCCCCTGTCCCTTGGAAAGGTGTGTGCACATGAGCACGCAAACATGTGTGTTTGGAATAGGACATCCTTAGCTGACTCTTTCCTCATTATATTTGGTTTGACTCTATTCCTCTTAACTTTGGCTCTTTGTAAAGTTTGGTCTCATGATCGTTCTATGATTATATTACCCTAATGTTTTTCTTGATTTCTAAGCACACTTCTAACATAAACATCAATTTGTTCTTCTTCCATCCTCTTCCCTTTCTTCTGTCTGCAGATGAGGACTGTGTGAATTGTACAGAAGAGTGCCGGGTACTGGGCCATTCGGACCGTTGCTGGATGCCCCAGTTCCCCGCTGGAGGAAACCAGGCCGAGGGAGTCGACTACCGCAACAATATGTTCGTGCCGGCAGGGATGGAGACTGTGCCTGAGGCAGAGACCTACGAGACTGTCAACCCCAATGGCAAGAAGACGTTCTGTACATTTGGAAAAGAAAGGCGTGACCACACAATCCTAGTGGCCAACGTTAAGCCCTACTTGAAGGCAAAACGTGCCCTAAGTCCACTGCTCCAAGAGGTACCCTCAGCCTCTGGTAGTCCTACCAAGAGCTGCTCAACCATGTCTCCCTGCAATTCAGTCAAAAGCCCAGCTGACGGAGCTGAAGGCAACCCTCCCCCTGCCACCTGCTCAGGCCACTATGGGCCTCCTGATGGTCAGTACCTGTCACCAACCAAACAAAGCAGAGACCAGGGGGTCTACCCACCATTGCCTCCCATGGACCCAGTGGCCAAGGTGCTTGCAGAAGCCCGCTCTAGGATCAGCCAAGAGGCAACAGGGGAAATGGAGTGTGTGCTGGAGCAGGTGGAGCCCGACGCAAGCCGTGACAGAATGGACGCTGACCAGGTGGTCAGAGACATCGACAAACTATTGCAGGACTGCAGAGGAAGTGAGGCCACAGCCACACTCAGGAAGTGACACAAAGGACTGCAACAAAATATGTATGAAGGTAGAGAGAGGAATATACTGCTATTTCAAAAACTCTCATGCCAAAACTGTCACCAAAACAAATCAAAAAGGTTAATGGGCTCTTATCATAGGAGCTCTTTTCTCTGTATTGGTTGTTGAAAATACTGACACTTAACAGACAATGGGAACATTTATTCATTTGGCACCCGTTTTGGGGCTAAGATCGCTATCAACAAAAAGGAACTGGGTAACATCTGAATTCTGATGAATTTATAAACTCTTTTTGTTTTGGATTCTTAAGCAAATTGCAGAGACTTATTATCTAAGTGCCCACCAGCTCATATGTGTGTTGTTCATGGTCTCTTGTGAAATCCTACATATCTAAGTGTGTGTAGGTGGATTTCTGTTATGTATATTGGCCATAGAAACGGAATGAAAAAAAAGGACTATTTATGGTCAGACATGACAATCGATGCGGAAACAGTGAAAGAAATTCTGATCCATTTGGGACAGTGAAAGGCCGAAATACACAAAACAACCTTATCTTTCTTGACTTTAATATAGGTGTTTAGTGTCTGATGGATCCTGTATTTGAACATGAAGATATTGGTTAATCAGGTGTGTGATCACAGGGGTCAGTTAAGGACTTGGGGACGAGGGGCTTAATTGCTACGCTGAAGGAGAATTATTAACAGTGTAACCATGTTTCACCTGTCATTTGTAGCCACATGTGTAAGCTGTGTCTGTCTCACGCCTCTATTTAAACATTCATGTTGCTCACTGGTGTAGTTGCATGCACCAATTTACACACATCTTACACATGTACACCACACTATGCACATACACATGCACTGATGATGACCCTACAAACACACACACATACACACTAATGCTTACACACAACTGGCCATCTGTGTAATTGTCTTATACATGAACATCATCAGCTTTCTGTCCCTTGTGTACAGTGATTTATCATGTGTGTGACTATGCCTTAAGGCAATCACAAGTTGTATAAAAAGGGACATTTTTTCCTTAACTGTGAAAAGATGATATCTATATGATCATATAGATAACTAAATGTATGAATCCATGTATAGTGTCCAAATATTAACAACATATTTATACATTTTATAAGAAAAATAAGGAAATGAGGAATCTCAGCAAAAAGTGTCCTTGAGTTAGGGTCAAGTGAGGGGTATCAACTCAAAGAACTGCAAAGGACACTGCCATTGTTTCGAAGACAAATATCCAAAAATAAAAATAAACAAGAAAATGTCCCTTCACATTATCACTATACATAATATCATTATATGTGTAAATGTACCCAATTTAGATGTGTTTACATCAAAACATATTTTTATTGATTTTCCTGCAATTTCTGTGCATTTGAGCCAAATTGTTATGTGTACAAAAGCTATATTGTGTATTTTATTAAATTAATATATAGTTGTGTTGCAATATACATGGGCTTATATTGTATTTGGCAAACGTTGCCTTAGTAGCTGTCGAACTCTGTGAGTTTGCTTTAGTTTGGGTTTTTCGTTGATGTTTTGTTTCCTCTCTATTCTGCGTCTTTGCAGGCTGGCTTCAGTGCTTTTGAGATGTCGCCTCTTTTTACCCGACGGTCCAATTGGATCAAAATGAATAACTGTTGAAAGCTTAATGAGCCAGCTGATAAAGAATACAATTCAAACCAACAACAAAAAGCAACAACCACAAGATAACAGTTTAAATATTTTTACTGAGCAAATTTTTACAGGGCAGCTATTTTCTTTAACAATAACTAGTATGCGTATCTTGTGTTCATTATGTTTTTACTTTCTTTCCAAAAAAGAAACCTGCCATATGGAAAGTGGAGTGGTTTCCTTGGTGATCATAAAACTGCCTTACTGTCTCTGCGGAGAGCTTGTTGTATCTGTGGAGCTTGTGACTGCTTATAAAGCCCTGGTCAACCAGAATGTGCATTTTCTATAAAGGACCAAAAGAGGTTCTTTTTCAGCAGTCTGTGTTGTTTATGTATGTACTCCTTCTCGATATATGTTAGAATTCTCATACTTTGCAGAGAAACTCGACATCTGAAATTCTATCTGAAGTTACTTTGGATTTGATGTCTTAGCTGTTTAGGTACACGGTTTATATAACCAAGTGTCTTTACATTCAGGCTTTCTTAAAAAAATGATACAGACATTTATTTTTGAAAATGTTGGCACATTTCGGCCACTCTCTGAAATAAGGGAGGTGCTTTTTCTAATATACTCTGATAGTAGAATAAGCAGAACAGTAGGCTATTAGACTATATGTGTTTTGGAAAATATGACCACCTTCACCAAATCTATGTAAGATGAAGCTGTGAGAGGGAACAGTGACTTGCGTTCATAAGGCTCCTGATGTGTTTAATGTAAAGACAGATATAAGACATGTTATCCCCCACCCATATCACTTATGACTATTTTTGTATTTCTGTTCCTGCTTCTATTTCTTAATCGAGTTACATGTTTGGACATCCTCCTGTGATTTTGCCATTTTCTGTCTTTTTTGTGTACTTGTTATCTTCTTTCACTATTCATTTGCTTACTTTCCTTGTCTTTAGCTGTTTGCTTTCTCGCCTCTGAGAGCAAAGCAACTGTAAGCTCTTCTCCTCTCTTTTTTCTGTGAAGGTTTTGGAGATGGCAGGCTGTTTTTAGAGAGGGCTCGAAAGATTTGACAGAGGAGAAAAATATTTATGGTTATTTTTAAATTAGATTTTAGTTGTAATCTCTCAAGTATCTGGATAAATCAAGCAAGCCTGACATTCACATTATAAAAACAGTTAAAATGTGCCGTTTAAAATGTGCACTGCAACTGTGATGTTGACAAAAATACTGTTACACGTGTGCGCAATCACACAGCACGATACACACAGACAGCCACCTCAGCAGCACACTGCCTTCATTTAAAATGCATAGGCCCTTAAGGTAAGATGAAGGCTGAAAGAGAGGGCAAATCACTACCCAGACTAATGTGAAACACCTGCCTTCATGCTTTCTTTTCTTTTCAGCCCATTGTTCTCAGTCTTCATGCTGGATCAAGCAGTTTATACCTGTGCTTGATTCGCTTCCATGCCCCTTATTGTTTGACAAAACAATTCATTTTTTCTTATTTTATTTCTTTAACCTGTGTCCTATAGCTTCAATTTTCACTCACACAGAATCTAGATTGCTGTGGTCTCTTTTATTTGGACATTAAATTAAAGTGAGGGGTCACCCCCCAACTTGTCTGTTGCTCTGCCTGCTAGAAACAGTCACTGTCACACATCATGCACATTTAAGTACTGTCCCCTCGAATGGTGTTCCCCTTGGCCTGGCCCCAGTCTGTACACTCACAAACTGAGCTAGGTCAAGTGGATGGAAGGTATTCTTTAAAGCCATGGCCCCTATCTCAGGCTATATTCTGTCTTTTAAAGCAGAGGCTGCTGTTGCTGAGGTCTACACATAGTTTGAGATTGAGCATAATGCAAGGCCTCTCATTGTTTAATTACACACTGTTGGCGTCATACACTGTTGGCAGTGCATTACTCAAATCTGGAGTGGGTTGTTTTTGCCCACTTGAGACTTGTGGTCTTATTGAGTGATTAAGACAGGGCCTTGTTGAATGTGGCTAACCGCCTCTGGACTCACTGATGCCGGTGCACCAGTCAACCACTGCTTCACACATGTAGAGACAACATGCCATTTTGGTTAGTTAAAACAAGCACCCAATGTTTGTCAGTGTTGTTCCCTCACCCCCAAGCCCACACAGATAGCATAGGGCTCCACGCTACGATGGGCAACTGGTGAAAAGACCAGAGACATTCATTTGTATGGATTACTTCAACTGCTATTGTCTAAAGGCTGTGTTCATTGTGATCTATCTGAAAAAAAAATACGTGAAAAGATCAAATAAAAAAGCAATTACTAATAATGTTTGCTCTTGTCCTTGTATGAGTTTGTTAAAGAATGGCTAGTCATGGCTTTGATTTAATTTCTCTCCTCAAGAGAAAACCTTGATCACCCGATATTTTTGTTCTCTCGAGTATCTACAAGGCCTTGTCAAATAGAATCGCAATGTTTACTTACACAGTGCCAGCTTACTTTGGGTAAGATAAAAAAATATTGAAATTGGCTTTTTCAATTGCATTTTTCGGTTTTAAATGCTCATCTGCATTCAGCTCCTACCCAAGCCTACACACTTAAAATGTTGCTTCTGGCAAATGATCCTTTATTCATTAAATTAGTTCACATTTTTGACACACAAAAGATTACTGTATATACTGTTTTATTTTTGTTCTCCTAATTGCTCGGAGGCAAATAAATTGGTGCTTGAAATGGTGTGTACTAATGCTTCTCAGATAAGATGTTGCACTCTAACCGTCAGCTAGATTTTCATTCAGAGGCCAATTTGAAGTCTTTTCAACATTAGGCTGCGGTAAGAGAGATGTACTTTATGCGTTCCATTTACTAAGTGAAATATGGTTTGCTTAATTCATAATTAATGGCTGTTAGGTGTTCGATGCTCAGAGTGGGAAATGCAGTGGCAGATGTGACCTCGCTCTTGGTCTTTAGTTCCCCAAGAATAGCAGTTAAGAAACTTTTCTTAACTGCACTGTCCTTTTTCAGTGTCTTCAATGTCCCTTTTCAGTGTTTTCCAATACAAAATGATGAACTGGCCCAAATGATACAGTATTTCATGTGTTGCATGGATATATTCCATCATCACTGTTTAATTGCAGAATTACAGTACACATGTCATGTGCTCTTGTGATTCCACACATCAATCGGCATACTGCTGTCTCTTAAAGTTGAATTTCCCAGAGTACACTCTTACTAAAGACTCATTGAGGACTATCACATCCTTATTACACAAATATTTCCCATAACCTGCAAGTGGATATGTCACTGACCTTGACATCATTCAATATTAATAGACTTTAAAAAAGGAAATTCGAACTAAAATAATCTTGGTAAATATCCAGTGTGTTGTCTCCAGATCCAGCTTCTTACAACTGTTTTTTTTTTTTTTAAATCAACTGGGATTATAGTTGATACATAGTCCATATTGATACAGCATTTTAGTGCCAAGAAGAACTCACTTCTAATACATCAAGATACATTATTGGTAGAATGATTTGAAGAGGACCAAATTAATTCTCAGGGAATGTTATACCCAAATACTGGATTTGCAGGCCATTGGTATGCTCCAAGGCCTTTTCCTGTTTGTATCTAACTAGTCGCCTCAAGGCAGATATTAATTAAAAAGATAGCATAGGTAGTCTATTAAAACACCGTTTCTAGGACTG